CCCTGATTGCATAGCCTCCATATCTAATCCCGATACATTTCGCCGTCAGCTACTCACTCTGTTCACCATGTGACCCTGTTTTTGTATTCTGAGTGCATTGCGTAACGGTGCTTTATATTCCCCTTGTCTTTTATTTTAAAATGTATCCCTCTGTCGCCATGTTCATATCAACAAGTGCTGTATTCCCTCAAATTTACCTCGCCCTGTATAGCCTAAAATGTGATCTCATTAATATATATATATATATAGTTTTTCGTTGTTTTTGCACTGATCCTGCCTGTAAACTGTTGGTTACCTCTCTTTACCATTCCGATTCCTCCCCCCCCCCTTACCCAATGCCCTGTTCTGGGGCCTGTAAGGTTTTTTTTTAATAAAGAATAAAGAATAAAGAAGACTGTCCTGCATCCAGTTGTAGGCTCCAGCTCCTCCACCAGTGTCACAACGTGAAAACAGAGGCCATGCCACAGAGATTGAGACACTAGAAGCAGGTCGATCTTTTTAATTAGAACGTGCAAGCGAGTTCTTTTTCGTCTATTTTGTAGTCCTTCATGGCACATGCACAACTGCCAACGTCTTTCTTGAGCAAGCACGTGACAATATCCACGTGCACTTTCTCAAACTTCAGCACAAGTACACATCCGTTACAGATGCGTCAAAGTCCCTCACTGGTGTGTCCTATATAGCCGTTGGCCCATCTTTTTCAAACTCCGGTATGCTGCACCCCGAAACAAGCGTTTTCACCGCAGAATCCCATGCAATATCTGTGGCTGTCAGACATAACAAGTAATTACAACTACAATGCACGGTCGTATACATATTTTTTCTGAGCATCGTGGCAGCTTTGAAAGCACTCAAAAAACATAAAAATCTTGTCCTTGTGACGCTTCACTCTCTAATATGCATTATGCACAGCCTAAACTCATGACGTTAGGTTCTGGGTACAAGGGAACCATAATATCGCTGAAAACGTGCTTGCAGACCAGCTAGCTGTGTTTGCGCACGACTACTCATTTGTCAGTACATACATGGCCATCCCTCCTGCTGACAAAAACCCTTCCTAACACGGGAGCTCAGGGCGTGCTGGAAGCGCTCATGGGATAGGCAAGCAGAAAACATACTACACGCTAATAAACCAAAACTTACTTGGAAAATGGCCTCCATTATTCAGATCACGCTACAGACAAGTAATAAGACAAGACAAGTAGTCGGGTGGTGATTAACCGATCTGTAAAATGTTGGGAGATCAACTTATGGTACTCTACATCCTCGTTCAGTGTAATGATTTAGATTATTTAGGGAAAAAACACTTTTTATTGCCCTACCGACAGCAGCCTTCACTAAATTCTGGAATGCTCATCGGTAGGAATGCTCTTAAAGATGTTTTTAAAATTTTTTTAAAAGTTGTAGGTAGTTTTTACCCCATATTTTATGGTGATTCGTTGCTCGGCCTCTGTAGAGGTTGTGGCTGCGGCCGCTCTCACCGCCAACATTGTTGTTTCTTTCACCTTCATTTGTTTCACACGACGGCCCCATGGTTTAATTAATCTTGAGTTTTAACTCACCTTATGGCATGGAATTTTAGGCCAATCTACAGCCGTGTAACATCACCATAGCTCACATCTTGTTCATAACGCTTCAATGACGAAGCACTGCTCTTCGTGTATCAATGTTTATGACGCTCCTTGGCCAAAAGTAGCTCTTGCGTCAAAAAAACCCACACATTATCGTCATTCTCGAAAGACATATCTTTTTTAGGCCTTCATGCTTTTTAATGTGTAGTATTGAATACCACAGTGAAAATTAAGTAAGAAAAATGACAGAAAAAACAAGATTGCTTCCGCCTACAAGACATTCCTAAAATCCGGATCGCCTTACTGCACACGAAACAAGACAAGTAATTGTTTGCAAAGGCTACTGTCACATAGTCTATAGCAGGTGTTGTAAATTACCACACTCCTGGTGGAGGTATAACTTAACACGCCAAAAGTTATTTTAAATACGATAGTCCGTTTTGGAATGCCTCGACGCAAAAGTTTTGGTCTGTCTGTCTGTCCGTCTGTTTGCCTGTCTGTCTGTCTGTCTGTCTGTCTGTCTGTCTGTCTGTCTGTCTGCCTGTCTGTCTCTCTGTCTGTGGGTACGATTGTCTGTGTGGCCGTCTTAACGATACCTTGAACGGCCCCAAACCAAACCCGAAATGGCCAACCCTATCCGCAGCGCCAACCATAATTGCTCAAGTTTCAGCATTCATACTTGTGCGATTGTAAAATAAAAAGCCACGATTATGCCTATGTGAGGCACCATAACGACACGCCAATATTTGTTGTGTGTGTGCTATTCTAGAGACGGCATATATAAGTAAATTTAAGGAGCGCAGCGTTTATCACGCTGCACTGACAGTGAAACGCGATGCTCAAAAAGGCAAGTGTTACCAGCGCTTTGCTAAGACGACACGGTGGTGGCACCGGCCCGTCCATTTACGTTAAACACCTAATCACCTCCGAGGCAGGCGCGTATGCCTCCCTTCGTTTTCGAAGATAACTGCCAGATAGCTCTCGTGTGTAACGTGTTTGATGCGCTCGTTCACCTTCGCTGCATGGATCGAGACTCTAACTAAGCGCCTCATGAGTACTATTCACTTATTTTTTCGCAAAAAACATCGAATAAACGTTTTGTTCACTCTCTCCAGGCGGAATACCATCGTGTTTCGACAACATTTGCAGTGAAACATGCAGATATGGGGCCAATTTTTCTTTTACCAGCCCTCCATGTGCAGCTCTTTGATAAGAGTTGCGGGTAGCCTAACATATTGCGGGTAGCCTAACAGAGTTGCGGGTAGCCTAACATATTTACATATTATCACTTCAAACATTCCTCTAGGGCCACGTAAGCATTATTCAGAATGGGGCTCAGAGCGCACTTCTAGTGTAAGGTTCAGAGATTAGTGTAGAAAAAACAATTATGAAACACTTTCATTGGTTTTTCTACTGGCGCCTAATCACTTCACCTCGCAAAGCATTTTACATGCATACATTACTTTTAATGTAAACACTTCTGACTTTTTTTTTTCCTGATGCTTTCCACCAGTCTCTTCGGCATGCATTCATTGATCGTCCGCGCTATAAGTGACTGAAAATTTATCATTTATGGCGTTTGGGTTACCATGATTGCGAATTCTCGCAATAAATAAGAGGTCTGAAACGTTTCGCTCTCCGACATGGCAGTGAAGAATTCTAGGAAATCAGCTAGCTTTCAAGTTGAGAAAAGCTGTACCATTCATTTGCTCGGTGGTGCAACAAAATAAAGGATGCTTGCCAAATCACCTTTGCTGTTCCGTAGCTATCCCTGTATATTGTAGATGTTCGCTGTAACTAGGGCCGCCGCTAAAAGGAAAGTCAGTATGAAACAAGCCATACTGCTTTATACTTGATCCCATGTAAGAAAATGGCTCCAGAGAAATTACAAAGTGTTCGAAGTGAACTAACATACCGGTTAACACTTCAGGTCTCCGTATATCACAGTGCATGTCAGTTTATTGCGAATATCACTGGCTCAATTTAATTAGTTCACTCATTATAAAATATGCGTGCCTTGATAATTATCTGCTTCACATTACCTTTAAAATATTCCAGTTTCAGTCAATAAGTAGTTGGAAGTCGGTCTGTGATAATATGTGCCGTGTTGTGAAACCGAAACTCAGACCTCGAGTGTTTGGCGTGCGGTGACGAAGATGATGTGATTTATGCGCGTATGTGCCGTGCTGAATCAACGACGAAGACGGCGACCGCTCGTGAGCCGTGGCATCATCGGTTCGTGATCGAGATTCGGCAGTACGAGATACGGCGCTCGAAGCAGGACTACCTTCCTGGGAGTCTGGCCCATAGGTTCTACCCCGGTCATGTCGCTACCTTTTTACCAGCTGATGCTCGGCCTCCGCTAGGTGACCGGCCCAGTAAGGCTGACGTGGCGTTCGACCCGCTCTATCGCTGCACGACTGGTCCAGGGGAGCTGGCACCATGTTCCTGAGACGGCCTGCCTGTTCCTCAGTCAGGGATCTGAAAACCTGGCTTTGCCCCGCTGGTACAGGAGGGCTAGCGTGGATGTTTGTGCCGCACTGCTGGTGCCCAAGGGCTCAACTAAGTGTCGCCGCAGCACGTCTGTCATCGACTCCGGTTATCTGACCGTGGCGTCGAGCCAACTGAGTTGTCATCGCACGCGCCGGTGCCGCATCAACAGAACTTCGTCATTGCAAGGTTCTGATGAGACTACAAAAACGGCCCAGGCAATGATGTCGCCAACCTGAACTGTAGGCCGGACATTCTGTTCATTTTCATATCTCATGCGTGTGCATGTTAGCCATAGGGTGTATTCTTGTATAGGTGCGAAGTGTGTGCAATATATCTGTGACGTGTGTTTGTGTACCGGCGTAATCTCCACTTTTTCCGGTAGTAGTCCTGCCCCTATATTACGTCGCACAGTGAATCTGCATATCGATTACTGTCTTAAATTCCTAAAAATAAACTTAACTGGGCACCTTTTTTTCTTAAGGAATGAACCAAGTGGGTAACTCTGCGGCATAAACCTTTAATTTGTAGCTTTTCGCACATTTTGTGTGAGAGATATTTCGTGAAGAATTAAATCAGCTTATGTTTAAAATTATAAACAAAATACACGGCAGCTTTGCAATGTCAACGTAATCCACATGGGTGCGAAAAGTGTTTTGCAACAAAAGTCTGCAGAGTGAGAATGATGGTTTGTTGTTTACATTGTCAAATTAGTAATTTAAACTTTGACGTGCCAGTCTGCTGACACTTAAGTTGATATTAAAATACATTCGTTCATAAACATAGCTTTTACGTATATTTCTTACGTATATTTTATCAGCATGGTACAGTGCAGCAGTGTCCTCCATGATTCTGGACTGTGTAGAAGCATAGGGCTACACGTGAGACATATAATATGATCCAATTCATCACCAACTTTTCATTTTTATTTTGTTTCAGGCACTTCCTCTCGCCGCTCAAAACAAAGCCAAATCTGGTGTGAAATACACGTGCACATTAGGTGAATGCGACACTAAACAGAATTGCCATCCTACTGACCTGTTTATCGGCTGCTGGAAAGGCTAATATTGAGCTACTAATGAGTAACAAACGGGTAAAGTTTTGGGAGTTTGAAAGTGTCACCTAAGATATCTCAATTCTGCCGATGTTTTAATAAATTTTTAAATGAAAATGTTTTAGTCTAGAAAGCAGCGTCAGCAAAATACACAGAAGCAGTTGTCAAGCAAGAAGTACCAAACAAACAACGTTTCGTTCCTTCGGAGTACCTAGGACCCAAACCAACGCACACTCGTTCACGGTAATAGGTATTGACAGAATCATACTTTGCTAGAGCACTGTGGACGCTATTGCTTTGAGCTATCACCTCGCTTTAGTTACATGCTCTTGTTTATCTTTGAATAGCCACAGAGGCCCCTAGCATGCGTTATAGTATGCAATGTAGCACTGGTCTTTGCATTAATCGGAACAAAAACGTAGCTGAAGCAGTGGGCCGGATGCTGTTGACAACTGTCTTTCCATACGTACCAGATGCTTTACCGATACCGCTACTGCTGCACAAACCAGACATTTCGCTTTATTCGTTCCGGAACGACCATTAGGAAATGTATAAATTAGCAGAGCCCGTTTGTTAAAGAGTGGTATCGCAATTACATAGAACAAGCCGAGTTACCCAACCGTGGCGTCGTCGTTCTATTTTTGCCATTGTTTCATTTCATAAAAATATGACCTTGATTATCTAATTTTATGTCATGGCTGTAAATACATGAATAATCACACTGCCAAAAATTATTCATTTGTTGCCTTTTTAGACCCTAACTATTAGTAAAATGTGTATTATGAATGTACCTGACAAAAAGAAATATTCATTGCTGAAAAGTTTTAGGGCGAAAAATATTCTAGTCTCAGCGTGCCAGCGTGTATCGTTTGTCATCTGCTACTGTTGCTGCGGTCGTGAAAGTCAATTTGCTTAAACGCAAGAGAGTGCTCCCTCTTTTTCACGGCCACCGCAGCCCTCGTCGCGTGGCAAGTGATTCAATGGTACGCGTTGACTATATAAATGTGCCGTCACCCTTCAGAGACAATAAACTGCACAACTATTCAATATATATATATATATATATATATATATATATATATATATATATATATATATCCTAACAGTTTCGGCTGGTGGACCAGCCATCTTCGGAGGATCTAAGCGAAACGATACAAGTTCCCGTCGCAGAGGGTCACCCTCACAGTTTGACTATGGAAACCGCAGGCGCGCGTGCCTCAACCGGCCCTTCGTCGTACGTTTCAACAAAGAAGCAGGCCGCTTCAACCACCTCCTTCGATCGCACTGTCGTGGAAGCGGTACTCTCTTCTACATCGATCACGACTTGGAATGGCTTCCTTCTGGCCAGGTTCTGGCAGCCGATGGTATACACTCAAGTTTTGAGGGTGGTGTCCTCATCGCCAGCCACCAGAAATTGCTGCTTCTGCGAAATACGGTGAGGTAGCCATGAACCTGGCTGGACCATGCAACATTAGGTCTGCCGAACCCACCGAGAGAACACTTCGCTTCCCGAGGTGAGTTCCCCAGCATCCGCGAAGCAAGCGGGAGCCAGAGCCGATGATCATCACCATGAGCGCCGAAGGGTGCTCCTCATAGATGATGGAGCAACAGCCCCTACAACACGACTCGGGGCCACCCAGAGGCTTCCGGTGACAGCGCTTCTCCCGCACGCCGGGACTGACTCAACAACCCGTCAGGTACGGCCCCCTCCAGCAGATGTTGGTCTCGTGATTTCATGGCCTTAAGAAAGATTGTTGATAAGCTCCTGAGGTTCGAAATGCTTCTTCAAACCTGGAAAAATATATCCCATCGGGATTCGCACCAAAGGGTCTCAATGTTCAGCTGAAACCCGCAATGAATATCTTCAACAAAATGAGCCGCGGCAGTGGAGCAATAATTTAAAAGATGAATCTTACGCAGGTCGTAATACAACACAGTACACGTAGGGCGGCGGAACATAAAGAGGAAGAAGAGGCACGGCTAAAACAGTCAAGCTTCAGGCAGTCAGAAAAAGAACTGGCCGAATACGAAGGCAAAAAAAGAGATTTACGATTCAGGGCAAGAATGGCAAGAAATTGAGGCGATACCCTATTGAAAAAACGTCCATCATAGGAATGGTGGATTCAACCATCCGCCAATTTGGTGGATTAGGGTGGTGGAAATGGTGGCTCATCGTGTACGGTGGCTATGGTGGAGCGGATGGTGTGTTCCAGCCGGAAATGCTAGAACACGAAGCAGCCTCAGAACCACCGTGACGAGCTGCCGCTAAAGAAACAGTAAAACTATTTGTATAAAATTGATCCTTGCAAGGACCTGTAAGAAATAAACGCGCGCTAGCGTGGAATCGAACCTGGCACTTGCGATTTTTGAGCTGAGTACACTAACCACTGCGCCACGCTGACTTTTTTTGTTTTTTTCTTTATATCTGGTAAACTTCACAAACGGGTTGCTAAGATAAATACATTACAATTCTCAACGAACAATACAAAAAATTTCAAAATAACTAAGCCTGTCAAGCAATACTATAACACATCGCGTCCTAGAATTCCTTCATGGTCAGTAGGGCTTCTACCCTTTCTACCCATAAAGGTACACATTCGCCTGTCCTTACTACCTCAAGTAATCTTGAGATGCTTTCTTTGAAATACTCTTTTGCTTGTCTTCTGTCTGGGTCACAATGAAATCCAGCCATTCTAGAGTGCCATATACTGTGCAAGGCAGTCATCATGATAAAATTGAAAGGTAATGCATCCTCTATCTCTATTGCCAAATACCTGATTCCTTGATTGTCTAACGGGAAATCTTTTTTGATTGTCCTTTGTAATACGTCCCAAAAATAAACTCCTTCCCAACAGTGCAGGTAAACATAGTCAATAGTTTCCGGTTTCTTACAGATTAGACAGTAAGATCACAAAGGCATATAAAACCCACTCTCCTCTAGGAAGGTTCTTACAGGAAGTGTTCCAGTGTGTAACTTGAAAAAGAACGTTTTCGCACTTGGAGCTGCTGGCATTTTTTTAACTCGTATAAGTACAATATTACCATTGCCTGCTGTATATAGCGCTCTGTACAGTGGGATGGGGAGCGTTGTGTCACATAAATCTTTGTACAGTTTTTTTTTCTTTCCAGCAGACCACAGGTAGTCAGTTGAAAAACGAACACACAAAAAGCACACGCTGGCCACAACTTCTTTCATGTATCCTTGCATAGCCCCTGTGGTAACATGGGTGCTCACAACAAACTCAGGCAACAGTCTACTCAGTCTTGTTTGACACACTGTTAGTAGGAAAGGATCTCTTGTCTCACGAAAAAAGAAAAACCTATTTACTAGCTGCTTGATAAACAGATGTCCTAGCCCAAGGTCTCCACACTTCAACCGTCTAAACAAATTCGTGCGACTGCATCTTTACCAGTTAGACCCCCACACAAATATTGCAAACACCCGATGTAATTTTTGCACATTGACCCGGGAACAGTACAGCCCTTGCGTCACATACCACAGCTTAGACACAAAAAACTAGTTGCATGCAGTAGCCCTAGCAAACATGGACAGATAAGTTTCATTCCACCTATTCGCTTTCTCTTTAATTTCTTTCGTTTGCTGTGTCCAATATTTATCAGTAATTTTGTATGACTCGAGCGGTACTCTGAGATATTTAACAGGCGTTCTTGTCAATTTAATGGCTGCAAAAAGTTCTGCCATTGAAGGCCAATACCCATGCCAGAAGCAGAGGCCTTTACCCCAGTTTATGTGGCTTCCTGTAACTTCGGTGAAAGATTTAGAAACTATGATTGATTTCGCAATACCTTCATAGGAAGTGCTACAAATCGCAACATCATCATTGTATGCGAGTAGTTTGACCTTTGAAGATTTTACTCTAAACCCATTAATGATGTCATTCTGCAATATTGACCAACATAAAGTTTCAATATAGATGCAAAACAACAGCGGACTAACAGGGCAACCTTGACGCACTGAGCGCTCAATTCTGATGGGTGGGGGCGCAATGTCATGTTGATGATCAGTCTCGTACTACCATTCTGATATGCCATGGCTACTCTGTCAATAATTATCTTACCAACAATAATGTGCTTCAATACTGCAAACAAAAGAGCGTGGGCAACGCACTCAAACGCTTTCTCCAGATCCAGCTGGAGTACGGCCACACGAGCTTGACTGGTGTCAACACATTCGAGCACGGATAGCATTTTATGAACGTTTGTAACTATGGACCGACCTTTGATTCCACACGTTTGGTGTGGACCGACGATATCTTTTATTACTGACTGAAGTGTACCTGCCAAAATTTTCATTAATATTTTGTAGTTTACGTTTGTCAGTGCGATTGGCCTGTACGCTGTGACGTGCCTGAGCTTTTCAACCTCGTCTGTTTTCGGAATCAGAACGGTACGCGATTCACCAAAGCATGGTGGTAATTTCTTTTCCTCATATGCCTCATTAAAAACGCCTGCAAGTATTGAAGACAATTCACTCTTAAAACATTTGTACCACTTGGCACAAAGACAATCTGGTTCTGGAGATTTCCCGGGATTTAACTTATCAATCGCCCGTTCAACTTCAGATGCAGATATAAATAATTGCAAAGCGTTTTTCATTTCCTCACTCATTTGCGGCATGCGTCCATAATGTTCCTCTTTAAATCTTTCTAAGTTTGCCTGTCTACACGCAAACCGATTTTCAAAATGACTTGAATATACGGATAAAATGCTGTCCGTATCGGTTGCTTCGTGACCATCCTTCTCTATTTTTTCGATATGATTCCGTCGAGCATTCGTTTTCTCCACCCCAAACGCTCTTTTGGTTGGCGTCTCCCCAGCCGCTAAACCTTCAGCTCTAGCGCGGACGAGTGCACCGCGGTAGCGTTCCTCGGCATGCAGTGCAAGTTTCTGATTAATATTGCGTATGTCAATTTTATACTCTCCTGGTTCTTTGCACTCCAAGTCTATTAGTCTTTCCAAAGTCTTTCGGAGTTCTTTTTCTTTTTTTCTTCAGTAACTCAATGCGCAATAACGATCAATAGTTTTTATTTTTATTCGCTGCTTGAACTCTTCCCATTGTTCTACAAGTTTAACTTCATCATCCATTTTTATTTCATTGATACAGTTCATTAC